TGGGACCAGGACCTTAGCCACACTGGATGCCAGCACCTGGCAGGCAGCATGGCAGGACCTGGAGGAACTGCTGGAGTGGAGCTATCTGCCCTGCTGCAGCTTCTCCAGCTCCCCCAAGAGCCTCAGTCCCTCTGAGAGAGACATGCCTGAGTCAAGGAGGAGGAGTCCTCATGGAGGCAAGGTCTACCTGCTCCATCAGACCTGTACAGCTCAACAGAGCCTGGTCAGCCCTGAAGATGCACGTGGCCAGGAAAGGACTGGAAATAGGGCTGGGGGCCCTTGCCCATGCCGGTGCAGCTATCCCAGCAGTGAGTGGTGCAGCAGCAGGGCCACCGTGTCCTGCCAAAGCTTATCCGGCCGGGGCAGAGGCAGCCCTTGCTGCGGGGCAAGCTGTGCCCCTCGTTGCAGGCAAAGGCGGACACCATTGCGGACAACATCAAAGAAAAGGAAGTGCGGAGGCTGTGGGGGGACCCCAATCCCACCAAAGAGTCCCTGGCCCTGCTGCTGCCATGCCCCCCACCACTGCTCACTCCCTTGGACCTGCAGGTCCCCCAGCAGCACAGTGTGCAGAGGCCCCGGGCCCTAGCCATGGCCCCCCCGGCCCTTCCCAGCCTGGACAACAGGACAGCAGGACCAGAAGCAGGACTGGCTTCCATCTTGCCAAAGGATTATGTCAGCCATCAGAGCTTCTCTGCCACCCAAGGCGGGCACCAGACAGATGTTGAGGACAGCAGCCAGCCCTTCTGTAACAATCCCAAAGATGGAGCTGAGCCAGGAGGTGCGCAGCACACTCTGGATGCACACAGCAAGGAAACACCTGGAGATCAAGCTACAAAGGCTCCCCCGGCTAGTGCAGCAGTCAACAGAAATGCTGCATCTGTCCCTGCCCAAACTGCAGCAGGCTGGGGCCGCGTCCCTGCTGCCATGCAGGGCCTCTCTCCCCTTGCTGAAACTAAAGCACCTCATCCAGCCGCACCAGGACGTGCTGCAGCAGCTTGGGACAAGCCTTGCCTGCCTGGTGACCTCCATGACACCGTGCACCTGCCCAGTGCCCGTCCCCGTCTACAGCCCCGTGCCCAGGCAGAGGAACAGCCAGGCATCCCTGCAGGCCAGCACCCTGCCCAGCACGTCCTGCAGCTGCGGCAATGCGATGGGCACAGCTGCCACAGGTGCTGTCCTGAGAACACCCTGGGGGATGGCAAATGCCTCAGCAGGGCAAGCCTCTACAAGATCAGTCCTCTTCCCAGGGTTCCCTGCTATGGACTCAAAGCCTGAGCCCTGGCGAGGAGCTCACCTGTGGGCACGCTGCGGAGGCTTTGTG